AGAGTCCCCAATTTCTCCCCGTGCTCGCCTCCAAGATTCCAGACCAGATTTCCGACCTTGAAAGGAATCCTGAGACGGATTAAGAGGTTTACACATTATGGCAAGTTCTTGAACCATGACCTTCAAACCAAATGGGGGCTTGAACCGTGCAGGAATAACTTGAGCCGATTCATTGTGAACTTGAGCGAGGTACTGTGCTAGCACAACTTCTGAAATCAACCTCCGACGTCGAACAACCTAGAAGATGAAAAAGGTACGAAAAGTTGACAACTTACACCAGAGAAATCGGCTGTATATTTCCAAACCACATCGGTAACATCCACAGCTTGATATCGAAGGTTAGCATTATCCATTGGTGGAGGAACGGATAAAGCGAAAATGTAGGAAAGCTCTTTTTTCCATCCCAGTTCGTATACTAGTGGAGCATCAACAAGTTGTTCACAAGGGTCCACATGAACCCAACGACCTTTGCTGCCAACAGTAGTTCTTCCTGAATCAGAGCCTTCTAGATCCGTAAGCCATCTAAAAATAAATAGCAGTAATCTAACATTATTTGCACTCAAAAAGTTAGCTAATAATATTTAATAAGCAAATTATTTAATAATATTAATAAACCCTTGGTGTAAACTTAGATACAAGTCGTTTTTGAATTGAACTTCAGAAGGTTGTTTAAAATTCGAGAATTGTGACACTTTCTACACGTTAAGATTTTTTGCGAACCAGGAAATGAAATCTAATTATGCACATAGGAAACTTCTCCTTGTTACCATTTCCAAAGTTATCACGAAACATGCGAGTGAAAATTTACTTAATTATCCATATTTCATTATCCATAGACACCTAAATCCATCCAGGAGTGTCAGTTAAACACTCAACTTGGGAAGAGAAGTATCGTCATGGAGTCACAGATAGATATGAGCCCCAAAATCTTCCACAATCATTTCTCACATCTTTACTGTGCAGACACCAAGAGTCTCCGAGTTTTAAAATGCGCAAATTGAATTTATTATTTTTTTTTTGATGACAATAAACATTCAACCTGGAGAGTCAGAGGTGTTCGTGCGTGTTAAATTAAATCGAAGAGAACTTATCATATCTAAAGGCGAATTGACAGAAGACAAAATTCCTATAAAGGTTTACGCAGTTGATTTTAGAAAGCGCCAAATTATCGGTGTGGTATAAAGTTCGAATATCAGTTGGTCAAATTTAAGGGTAATGGTAAAAAGATACCAAGAAATGTCGAACCAAACTCAAGGGTATAGTTTCGACGGCAGTCCTAAGAGGCATAAGAAACTATTAAAGGTAAAATATATAATTTGGAAATAATTTCAAACCATGGTGTTCTTGTCGTGTTTTAATTCCATAAAATAAGCAACAATAATAGGATAATTGCAATTTTATAATCGTCAAGCCACTTATCTAGTTGGCTCATAAAAAAATTAAATTCATGTGAAGATACGTATATGGTGGAGAAAATAACTTTGCATTATAGAGTAAATAGTTAACCTGAAAATCGATTAAAATCCCACAGGAAAAAGTCAAGTACGATTGAACGTTCTTCCGATTTTTACCGCATCCATATGCCAATCACTAAAAATATTAATGTCCAACCAATTCAGATACTAATTGACAAATGACTCACACTTCTACAAAGACATGATCAGTCTGGTCGAACACCAACCGAACACCCTGGAACCAGGCATCTTCCATCTTTTCCCCATGCAATCCGTCTCCTTTCCTTACACATGTAGTGTCCTTCTTCAACGAGGCCAAAATGAAGCAGAAACACGTCGCCCATTCACCACATCGCCCTTTGCGAGTTTGCATTAATTTCAATGGGTCATTGAAGCGTGGAAAGCGTTGCTGTGGGTGGGAGGCCGAGTTGGGACACGAGTAGACTTCTACAGTGTAAGCCATTCCTTCCTTTGATTCAGTAGCCGTTGGGGCAGCAGACTGAGCTTTCATCGTGGAGCCACATTCATCACAGACGCAGTTGTCGAACCAATCAAAGAAGTCTTCTTTGAACCACCGCAGAAAAGCCCGAAGGAGTTGATGAGGTTTAACGTTTTCTGGAGAAACGTCGTTAGTCTCGGCCGCTTCTCGAAGCAGTTTGTCCAGAGGGATATCATTTAATGCCTTTTTCTGGGGAGTTAATGAAAAAATTGAACAAAATGCATGAAGAATCTATTAAAGGAAAGGCATATACTTTGCTAAATATTTGTAAAACGCTTACGATTGGTCTTCAAGCATCCAGCCATTAATAAAAAAACCAATACGCATTCCTAGAAGGCTGGAAATCCTAATTTAGAGCACCTAAATAGAATTCACTCATTTCCAAGTCAACGAATCATTCCCAAGAATTCAATTCAATTCCCTTGCACACTGTAAACAAAAATGGGAAATGGCAGAAATTATTACAGCCAAGCCCTTGAGAGGTTGCAAGAACTAAGATAGTCATTTCTAAGGCAAAATTTCTCATAAATTCAATGTCGGTAGGGATAGGAAATAGCCTTATCGATGTGAAGATATCAAGAATGTTCGAATGTAGGTAAATTTTATCTAAGTAAAAGACATACTTGATAATCTGGATTTGCGCACAGGGCCACTTGACGCCGATAATTCTCCAATCGTGAGATAAAAGGATATCGATCAGGTTTAATTGGAGGTTTTCGAAAGCCTCTTAGCTGTCGAATCAACCTATCCATTTGTCGTAGGTTTGCAGAAGCTGGAAGTACAAGAGAATCTGTCTTTTCCTAACCGAGAAATATGTTATAACGAAAAAAATACTTGAAAACCCATATTAAAAAGGTATTGCATGCAGCCCGGTATAATCAGAAAGTAATTTTCGAAGACAGGGTCGGACAGCTTCAATTCGAAAGGTTTCTTATCGCCAATTTTTAGAGCAGCCTGAGTCACAATATTTAGAAGCTTCGACCTAGCCATTCGTTTGGAAGAATCCAAGCCACCAGAGAGAAATTCTTTAACAGAGTCATCAAAGTAAGCATCCAACACAGCCTCCTCTAAGCTATCAATATGTGCTCCTTAGAAATAGGTAAGGGAAGATTTTATACAAACCAGTTATAGTGTGGTGGCAACTGCCTTTTTTAAATACTTTGAAAGTTGGAAGAGCAGAAACCATTTCCCGATGTGAAATTTCCTGACCGGAATCAGCATTAACTTTCACGAAAATGACATCGGAACTGTAAAATTTGTGACTCAGTTCTTCATACAGTGGCGCAACTAACATACAAGGTCTACACCAAGTTGCAAAAAAATCGACAACCAAAACTTGATCATTGGCAGCAGTAGCGCGAAGCAAATTTTCAAATTCTTCAATAGAATCTATCTCTCTCATCTTCCTTGCTTCAGACAACAGTGAACGTTCAGGCCAATTTGCAATGCCTTTGCTGACTGAAGCGTGTTATAAATCCAACGAAATCTGGATTTGTATAAACAGAATTCCCCTATTGTAAAATTTACTAGCGCTCATTGAGGCTATTAAATTCTAACTTTAAACTAAATATAAAATGGTATTTCTATCCTAAGTAGAAAATGAATTTGTTGCATTTAAGGTTTCATTACTGAAATTTAAAAGGTAATGATGAAAATATAAATTATGAAGACAAGCAGCCTTTGTTTTTAATCATTAAAACGGAAAAATTATTTTTATTTCAATGTTTCGCATGACAAATTTAAAGTCACATAATTAGTTGTTCTTAACTATATTTTACCCTTATTTTATCCGTACAAATTCATTTTTTTCAGAAACGTAATAACTTTCATTGCCAATCATTTTTTGCTATTTTAAAGTTAATTTTGAAAGTCCACAAATAATGAATCCGAATAGTTGTGACAGTCAAACTTATGTTTTCATTCAATCTTGAACGGTTATTAGATGAGTATCTGTTACTTATGTCATCTCGAGACAATTTTCTTAAAAGACATTGTTGAAACTCTTTACCCACACAAAATTTTCGGTGGAAAGTTATAACAATTATTAACCTTTTATGATTTTAATGGATTGATGTATATTTTACCCTAAATATGCTAAAATTCGAAGTGAAGCGAAAATAGTTTATATTTTTAATAAAATTATTCACATATTCACATTACTTTGATCTTAGTTAGGTAACTTACCGCATTTATAGACGTATTTGAAATAACTCATTGTCAGAAATGTGACCAACAGAATTATTTTTTGAATGAGCTGCCACATACCCAACTCTTTTACCTCTATCCTTTAATCTAATTCCTTTAAAATTACGAATTTTAACGAAAACTATATTTGACAAAAGTATTCTTAGATCGTCATCAAACTAACCCCATTCTAGCTAATTTGCAAATAAACGAACTAATACTGGCAAACATCCCATGATTCACAAGGTAACAGCGAGTCTGAAACTAAATCTGTATGAGACAAACGAGATGATCTCTTATTCTATTTAATGCTCGACAATATTTTGTGCAGACTCCATCAATATTGTTTTACGTCATAATTACCTGGTATTTGTCCATTTATTGAAACTGATTACCTTTAACAATAAATTCTTAAATTAAATAAAATTAAATGCCTATAAATGGGATCTCAATGCGGAAAATGTTAAAAAAGAAGGAAACTTTATTGCTACTATGAAATAAAGTCTAAATTGAGTTGTGGAAACCGATACTAGTCATGCCTAAACACTTCACACTCTTGTGGGACACGTCATCGCATGCGCGTACACATAGGCTTGAGGTGCGGCTGTACAACCTCGAGTACAGATTGAGGACAAGAGCACGCAGCCAATAGCAGCTCAGTGACCCTCACTTGTTTTACCAAATCCGCCATGTTGTATGACTGAGTTCCTTCCTTTGTACACTTCCTGCGTGGCATATCTACTGAATAAACGTGCTCCGTGCTAAACGTCTGTTTCCTTCATAGCTGGGCTATAGCTTAGCTGGTTCTGGGAGTCTAGCTAGATGTTGGAGAATCTGCCATAGAGATTTCTGAGTCAGTCAGGCTTTACTAAGGTAGCAATCCGCTACACTCTACCTTCCACTCACTCGGTTTTGAATCTTTTTGCTCGTGCACGGATTACCTTTACATTTCAAAATGGCTGTTAATTTTCCGATATCTATGAAGGTACTAAATTCAGATACTTATGCAGTGATGCACATGTCGTTTCAGATGAAATCTTCCAAATTAAATATACTTTGAACAACTTTTGCTGAGAAAAGGATTTACTATACATCATTGACCTCTATCATCACTTGTACTTATTATAAGTAGAAGCAAAATTTGAGTGAAGAATATGCAACGCTACCAAGGCTGATTAAAGGAATTTAGCTGGCGCTGAAACGTTCTGGAAAGTTGCCAGTGCGTGCAAAAACCCCTCAACCAATAAGCAACCGAGTTCACGCTACAGGGAATAACATTAACTGTATTTAATGACTAAGCATTTGGGTAGTTTACCCAACACAAGCCGTAATAAACGCTATTCATTCTATACGTTCTGTTTTCACGATATTGTCGTGATAGCCTAGATAATTTCGTAAGAGATTTTATACCGGAAAGATTTTGCCTGAGAGATTGTCTAGTTTTAGTCAAGGCCTATTTGTGAGGCATCCGATGCAATAGAGGAAATCCTTAACTATAAAAACAGCGAGCCATTAACACAGAAACTAATACTCTCTTTCGCTGTACTTACGGGAAGATTAAAATTAATAAGTTGTCAGTCACTTGATACCCATTGTTTACAACTCCATTAACTTTCCTTATACTTTCGGAAAATCGAAGTTCCTCTCAGAATTGGGATACTATACCGTTGGATATTTAAGGAACACGTGGGGAGTTTTGAAGGTTAGAAGAAGGGAAGTGCAGTGACGTGTAGCGTTTTATGTCGGTCTGCAGCGGGAGGTTTAAATATTGGAATTGAAAACAAATAAATTTGGCCAGACGTTAGCAAATGCATCATCAGTTGGGATATGATGACTCTACAAGAGTGAAGTATCGAGTTTTCCATATCTGATACAATCTTGATCTAGTTCAGATTACTTAGTTAAAATTCGTTAGTGGTAAATCGAGACTTATGCGATGACCTTAATTGTAAGGTCGAGTCGATTACAGAAAAATATGGCTAGGGAATATTGGCGGGACTTTGTAAGAAAAGCCATTGCAAATCTAAATTCCGGAAAGTCACGACAGGTATGACGGACCAATAGATGTCCCTTGAGTTCCACTTTTGGACATAGTACTCGATACGCCAAAAATGGCCTCTGCGTTTGAGTCATTCGGAGATTAGAAATCAAATCAAATTATGAAGATGCAGAGTAGTGACTAAATGCACGTTCCCTTTCTCCATATAACTCATTATCTACTGACGAGGGGTAAATTGTAAAATACGAGACTTCATTCTTATGACAAAGAATTTGGCATAGCCAATAAATGAATGAAAATTGCGGTCATTTTAATAGCACAAATGGACCTTATATAATCTATTACGGATAGGTATGGTCAAATAGACTTAATAGAAATAATAGGTTCTGATTAATCTTAAGAGTGTTATCATTTCAAGAAGAGATGTACTATTTGGAAACCACTTATTATTTAATCATACCTCATTGTCTTTTAAAAATTGAGGGCTTATTTAACCACATCAACTTGAGGGCAATGTAATAGGTAAATGCATATTGATATCGCGGTAAGCATTGACAAGGCTTGTTGCGATAAATTAATCGAATTTTAAAAGGAACAAAGATTTGAACATAGTGAAAGGTAAAACTAGGAAGAAATATTTTAAAGCACTTTTGGCTAAGCAAAAGTGACATGAGTGTAATTTAGAAGCAGTAAGGAATGAGGAGCAAATTGGAGTATTTTATCCACACTAATCGCTCTGTCAGATAAGAGATGACATATTATTCTCCGCAACCAAAAACCGAACGAGATTGTGATTTATGCCCCATTACCGTGCCTGAGTTGCGCCGAATCAGCTTACCACCATATCAAAATAATTTAATAAATCTGGAAGATCTACACAAGTAAACAACTACCTTAAATGGGGATGAAGAAACACGCTCAATTTTGGAAATCATTTCCATAGATTATTTTTGGGCAAAGTGATAGTTGTCCTGGAACTATTCTGTTAAATTTATCGCTAAATAGAACGGCGTTGATTGGCATTGACCTAGGAAAACTATGTCGACATTTGAAAAGGGGAAATGTGACGAAGGAAAATTATGGAGATAAAGGGAGCTTGGAACGCCATGGAATACCATAAGACTATATGCCCTTTCCTAGCGGCAATATGTCTGCTTATTTCCAACAAGTGCACGTGGTACTTATTTATGATTTATAATAGAAGACCTTCCACGTGAACCCAAGAGACTAACTCGATAGTTTAGTTAAAGCGACTTTATAGGATTTGGTCTCTTGGAGAACCTACATCAAATTAAATTTTAACACAAAGAGAGGTGTTAGGACAAGTGTCATTTCAATCAACTTTGTCTCAAAGTAACTGGAAAGGAAGTTGTTTTTAATTGTTAGCCCCGGGAAAGCATTGAATGTGTTGAGTGGACATAATCGTTTCCATTCTTTCAGAGAGCATTTCTAAGCTATTATCGATTTTGTATTTTACTGTTTCTCTTGAATATTCTTGATGTGAGTTTTTATTCATTAAGAGATTGAAATCGAAGTTATTGCACGTCTTTGATGTGTACTTTGGCGTAAAATACCTATTTCTTGAGCTAATTTATATCCGATGGTTCAATTGAATGTTTATAGAAACTTCTAAATTATTTAACGATGAAATCTTTATGAAGATTGACCTTGCTATTCTGTAAGATCTACAAGGATCTCAATGGAACTGGCTTATTCTTTGACTGTTAAATGTGGAAATATTCAACGATTTGGAGTACTATGAGTAGCTGTTTTGGCCAACAGAGCTAGCGAATTACAGTGCAAATATACGCTTTCGGATATCACTGTTGGATGTCTTAAACTTGGCACCCGTAATAAACAAAAACCGGATAAACATTACAAAATCAAGGTCCCAGAAATCGTCATTTCCCATAGTTTCCATTGTATAATCCATTTCAATACTAAATTGGGCGTTGTGGAGATTGGAGTCATCAGTTTATCGGAACCAGAATAGTCATCAATTAGAGAAGCGACGACTGTCATAATGCTAACAGAAACTTACGAATTCCACCACCTGGCATTCAGGAAAAAAAGCAGTGTGTATTGCAATACAGGCTGCATATTTCGTTAAAGTCGGCGTGCAACCTTGAAAACCCCAACTGTCGAACAGAAAACCGGTTGAAATGTATTAGTGAAATTAGGACAGTGTTTTTGAGAAAGATCTACCATAATGAGGTAGA